TTGAGCTTCAGTTTCATTATCTGGCCTTCCAGGGAACAGTCAGGGTTGATTTCTTTTAGGATTGACTGATTGGATCTTCTTGCAGTCCAGGGGACTCTCAAGAGTCTTCTCCAGCACCATAGTTCAAAAGAATCTATTCTTCGGCGCTCGGCCTTCCTTATGGTCCAACTCTCGCAGCCATACATGACTACTGGAAATACCATTGCTTTGACCATGCGGACTTTTGTTGACAGGGTAATGTCTCTACTTTTTATCATGCTGTTTAGGTTCACCATCGCTTTTCTCCCATGTAGTAACGCACACCTAATAAATCATCTACTACTGAGGCCCTGAGCCAGTAGAGCCAAAATCGGCATTCTTTTATTATTTATAATAAGGATCACGGAGCTCCATTATTTGGGTTGGATTCTTTGTTTCCCAGCCACCCCTACAGTAGCTGAGAAGTTGCACTTCCCCTCTCTTGTCTTTCCAACTCTCAGAGTAATAAATTACCAACTGGAGAGTCTGACACCATTAATTTGCCTGCTGGGATTCCAACATGCTCATTAACTGTCCGTGCAAAGACAGGATTAAAAGCAACTTAAACGGCCCCCGATTGCACCTTGAAGGGAGTGTCAGATCCAATCAGGACTCCACTCACACAGGCTGCTGGTGGCCCAGTTCAGAGAGAGGAAGTGCTCAGGGGTCAGTCAAGGGCAAACCTTGATTGGATCTTGCAGGCTGCCTTGGCTGGGACTGAGACAGGCTCCCCAGCCCTTTGGCTTAGCACAGAACCTCTGCATCTTGAAGCTTGGGGAAAGCGCAAGCTATCCTTTAAAACGGAAAGAAGCTGTTTACAGGTGTGCCAGCCCCAAGGCAAAATCCAAAACCAGAAGTGGTGGTGGAAAGCGCTGTCAAGCCGCAGCCGATTTATGGAGACTCTGTAGGGCTTTCAAGGCAAGAGACAAATAGAGATGGTTTGTCATTGCCTGCCTCTGCATAATGACCGTGAGCTTCCTTGGTGATCTCCCATCCAAATACTGGCCAGGGCAATGCCTTTTATTAGCACCAACCAAATGACACGAGCATTCACGTTCCCCAGAACTTCAGGGTCAATATCACAAATATATATTTATTTGTGATATCTGTCTGTCTGTCTATCCATCTGTCTATCTATCTCTATATATATGTCTATCTGTCTATCGGTTGTGGGGGGGATAACCTGGGATATGATTTTTCAAAATAATTACAACCCCCAAATAGAAAAAAAATAGAAAATATAACAACAACGGTGGCAGGTCTACAAGTAAGCATTTGTAAATATCTAAGAACATGTCCATGCGTAATTGTCATCTATATCTCATTTGTTCGAATACTGATAAAGTTGAAAGGTCCTCAATCCACTGGATTATGGTAGGTGGGTATTTATTTTTCCAGTGTCGTAAAGTTTTGTCTTTTAACAAGTGTAAGAGCATGGATATGGTGTTAAGTCCTGTTCAAGCCTGCAATGTGTGTGGAGTATGTCGGGGGCGATGCTCTAGTTCTGGGGCAAAATTCTATGGTAGAAGCTAATTCATAGAGTTTTGCCCAAAAAACAGAGCATCCCCCCCATGTCCCTGATGTGCCTACATCACTTCCAGGTCATGTTGGCACATCAGTTGATTTCCAGCATTCCTCCCCACTCTTGGTGAGCATGCCCCCCCATCCCCTGCCGGCTGCTCCGAGGGACCTAGCATCCCAAATCAGCCGGAGGGCCCTTGAAGCCAGCCTCATGCTGCATCCGGCCGAACGTCTTTCCATTTATTCCTCGTGCAATTCTGGCTGCAGCCACTAGGGAACGCAGGAAAGTCTGAGTAAATGACAATCTACTACGATCAGCTAGACTTCCCTTTCTCCAAGGCTGAAGCAAATTTGCCTAACAGATGGTCCCGGTCACACGAGCGGGATACTGCGCCAGTGAAGGGAGGCAAATTAGAGCCAGAACAAAAAGAACCATGGTAGCGCGATCCGACACGCCCCCGTGGCTCCGTGCTCCGGCAGGCAATCAGACGTAGCACGGCAAAACGGACGTTGCGTGTTTGTGCACATGCGTGGGACGGGGAACGGCGCTGGCTGCGACGGGCTACCAGCGCTTCCCCGATCAGACGTGTGGAGTTGCTGCGCGTCATCCGGAAGGTAGTGCTCTGTTGCCGGTACCTTTTCAATGCGCGTTTTCGGGCCGAAGGGACAGATTGGGGACGGGTGTGTGACAGTTCCCTGATGTTGCGGTTTGATCGCGCCCATTTGATGCGCCCTCAACCCGTCCGTTTTGCGGGGCAAATCCTCCCGTGTGACCGGGGCCAGATCATGCTAAACCCTTCAACTAATCATCCAGCAATGTAGCAGGACAAGCAACCGCATCAGATGGCTGCTACACTAACTGTCAACCTGCAGCCTGCTAACCTTCTATAACAGTCTAGCCTTTCCTTGTACCCAGCTCAGCCAGATCTTGCAAAGTCGTCCTTAGGGTGTTGCAGCAAGAGAAAACAACCTTTCCCACTCTTTTGCTTCATTTCGCTCTCTCTTTTCCACACTTTCCCCATTCATTTCTATTTCCCTCCACCTAATTTTTCTGCCATAGAGACCCTTCGCTTCAGTTGCAAATATCACGGGGGTGGTGGGGGTGGTTTGTCTCACCTGGGCTAGGATTTTCCTACGCCTTTCAATTTTGCCATGGAACTCCCACAATCATCCTGAAGCTGTTGGCCAATTTTTGAGTCTCCTAGCTTTATTTTCTGATGTATTATGTCAGTGTGGCGTAGGGGTTAAAGTGTCGGGCCAGGATCTGGGAATCCGAGGTTCAAATCCCCACTATGCCATGGAAGCTCGCTGGGTGACCTTGGGCCAGTCATCCACTCTCAGCCTAACCTACCTTACAGGGTTGTTGTGAGGACAAAATGGATGAGGGGAGAAGGACATGTGCCCTAAACCATTGGGGAGAAAGTAAATAAATAAATACACAACCACAGACAGATAGGCCAATTCTTTTATTATTATAGATTCACGGTAACCGCAAGCCAAGTGGTTTGTTTGTTTTGTTATGATACTTGGTTTGGATCAGGGTCATATGGGGGGGCAGATGGAATCTTTGGGGGCCCATGGTGGCTCTCAGCAGAGCTGCAGACATTCAACAGGTACAGTACTTGCTCCAGCATAGATTCTGGAGTAGGCAAAGAGTTGTGGGTGGATTCACCCTTTTACCTTACTGGGAAAATAGGCTGCTAGTCTGGAAGACCACTGACCCCTGCTAGACGGGGAGCACAAGAGCATTCTCGTTCCCACTCAAACCTGCGCTGCAGCAACGATGACGACAGAGGTAGGAAGGGTTACCAACACGCCTGGAGAAGGAACGCCCTGTCCCTTGCACAGTGACCTAATGGGATGTTATTTGGTGGCGGAAACTGTGGTCCAGTGGCAGTCGACTTACGGCGACCCCGTAGGGTTTTCAAGACAAGAGACATTCAGGGGTGGTTTGCCATTGCCTGCCTCTGCGTAGCGACCCTGGACTTCCCTGGTGGTCTCCGGCCCAAGCATTAACCACGGCTGAACCTGCTTATGCTCCAAGATCTGATGAGATCAGGCCAGCCTGAGCCGTCAGGGCAAGATGTTATATTACCAGGTTAATATTACTTCCCTGCACGCCATGAACGGCTTCATCTACTTGTGTCTACAAATTAAACCTCTCTTAAAGGAACAGCGTTCCGTGCGCCTTGGTGTTTAGTCATGCCGGCCACATGACCAGCGGACAGCGCGGGCTCTTCGGCTTTGAAACGGAGATGAGCACCGCAACCCTAGAGTCGGAGTCGACTGGCTTTCGAGGAGAGGAACATTTACCTTTTTAAAGGGACAGGAGATTTTTCTCCAGGCAAGCTGTTATGTATTGGGACTGAAACATTCCAGAACTGTTCTACCAGAGACTGGCTGAGCTTGGAGCCCTAGAACAATAGCCCACCAGGACTCTGGAAGTAACCAGTCAAGAAGTGATGTTATGTAAATAGCCTATCGTTGGGAGTGGGGTGTGTCTGGGTGTGGCAATCGCATGCCATTTAAACAGGGCTGCGGTCCTGGAGTTTTCAGTCTTGTTCTTGGCTGAAATCACTGAATAAAGTAGAGCTGATCACTAGACGGAGTCTGCTCATCCATGGAACCCACTATTTAACACAAGCCTACTTCCCCCTGCCCCAGTGTTGTCATTGCCACGGCCCAGGTCACCCATGGCACCGCTGGGGCTGCTTGGATTTCTGCCCGTCGCATCTAAGCCAAGACGAAAAGAGCAGCAACCTGTTGCATGTGTGTGTTCTGGAACGAGGGGAGGAAATGAGAAAGTGAATCAGGGAGACTTCCTGGATCAAGGCCTTTCGGGGGAGGCGCAGACGCCTCCTCATGACACAATATTGTCGGTCGTCATCCCGGATTCAAGTAAATGACAATCTTGTTGCTCCGTGCATCAAACCCTGCTGCCCTCTCCGCTTTCCCAGGGGAGACGCATCGGCTCTCCTCCCACATGCTCTCTCTCGGAATGGCTCATCAAGAGCTGAGCAGCTTTGCAAATCCCGGAGTGTGTTTGTTTTTTAATAGAAGCTGCTCCCTCCAGTCAGATTTGCGACGGCTAAACTGGGGAGGGGGGCAAGTTTCAGGGAGGAAAAATGCAGAACAGATCAATTTGCTTGTGAGGTTCCTTTCCGGGAGGGGGATAATTTTTTTGGGGGGGAGGGGGGTTTCAAGCCATCTTTCTTCTCCTCTCCTTGATTCGAGCTGCCAACTTTTTTGCATGTGATTGTTCCTGTGCCTTTAAACAGCTAGTTGGTCTGCAGTCATCCCTCTGCTATGGAAAGAAGTTTACCCAAGTCAGCCACTTACCTTCTGGGATGCTGGGGGGGGGGGACATGGAGGAGGGGGCTCGTGTGGTGTTGGACAGCAGGTAAGGGTCCAAGCTGCTGCAGGGAACAGGGGGACACCAGTAGGGCTGAGCGCCTCCTGGCACAATTCCATGCCGAAAAGGTTGTTCCTGCTGCTCTTGTTTGCTCTTTTTTTGTTTTGTTTAAACTTCCTTTTGAGAACCAAAAGTTCTCAGGGCCCCAAGCTGGACTGCTTCTTCAGTTCTGAGGCTACATTTATTTATTTACTTATTTATTTACATCCTGCCTTTCTACCCATGATTCCATCATTCTCTCCCTCCCCTCGGTTTTATCCTCACAACAACCCTGTGAAGTGGGACAGGCCGAGAGAGTGTGACTGGCCCGAGCTCACCCAGCAAGCTTCCATGGCAGAGTGAGGATTCAAACCTGGGTCTCCCAGACCCTAAACCAAAACTAACCACTGTACCACACTGGGATCTGATGGCAGTGGGCTTCACTCACTGGCAGTTGCTTCTCCAGGCAGATGCTGAACTTTTTGGTCTGGTTTGGCTTGAGCTTCTTCAGCGGGATCCTGGTTTCCCCAATGAACTCGTTGTGGCGAAACTTGTCCTCGTCGCAGACGGAAATTCTGAAAGGCGCAAAAAGAGCAGAGAGGTGAACGCCTCAGCAAATGCTTTTGCAGTGTGACACTGCCCAACAACAAGAAGGCCAGCCTTGCCAGGAAGCGAGAGAGGGGCATCTTCAAGGCCGGGAGGAACAAGCCCAGGACACACAAGTACAGGGATTGGCATAACTGGGCACCCACCAAGCTTAGAGCCTGGCAAAGGGCCCACTCTCAACTGGAGACATGGGTCTGTTTGCCAGAGAGGGAAGTGCCCGAGGCAGCCAAGCAGAGCGCAAGGGAATCGATGCTCAGCTCTCCCCCTCAGGCACCCCCTCCCAACTGGCTTCAGGGCCCCTGGAACATACGACAGACTCTTCCTGTGATCTGCTTCTCCTGGTCGGCCCCAGGGGAGGATCAAAGGAATGTGAGAAAGTCAGAGTTCTCTCCCTGCGGCACGCCGCCACACGCCACACGCCAGTTAGGGACTGAGAGAGAAGGGAACAATGATTGGGGAGTGTGAGGTGGAACTGGGGGGCGTGTGAGGAAAAGAAGCCGCTAGGGAGGGGCTCACGGAAACCCTGCGTATGTCTACTAAAACCTGCAGGCAGCCACAATACTGTATTGAAAGCCGAGAGCTGCTGTTGGGACGGACTCTCTCCAGCGTCACTGTGAGATGCCCAGGCAGGCAACGGACTTAGTCAAGGGTGTCTTTGACCACCTGTAATCCTTCCTGGTGCAACCAGAGGCAGACGGACCTTGGCTTTCACCTTTTGAGGCCTCACAAACATCTTTGTCGTGTGTCTTTAGATCTTGCTGCTTAAGTAAGTAATATGGCCATTTGTATCACATTGTAAGTTAAAAGAATATTTGATCATTCATATTCAATATTCTTTTTATCTCTTTTCTCTACAGCCTTCTTCTTCCTGGTCCCATATTCAGTTATTGGTTATCTTATTGCAATATGTATTTAAGTTATGTGTAAAAAAGGTAAAGGGTCCCTTGCTCGAAAGCCAGTCGAATCCGACTCTAGGGTTGCGGTGCTCATCTCCATTTCAAAGCCGAAGAGCCAGCGCTGTCCGAAGACATTTCCATGGTCATGTGGCCAGCATGTGTACCTCAATATTATTTGACCTCTGAAGAAGGCCCCAATAGGGCAGAAACACGTCAGGTCATGAGTATTGGCCCTTGTGTTTAGGCTATACTTTTTTACGAGGCTTTCATTGGGCCCTTATGTATGTTTTTAACAGTCTTTCTAATAAATACTTGTATTTTTGTATATTATAACTAGGTTTTTAATATTGGCCCTTCATTAGACTTTCTTCTCACCCTTTTGGTTCTTGATCCTTCCTGGTGCAACCAGAAGCAGACAGACCTTGAACCATCCCAGAACCTGGAGTTGTCGCCAGCAAGTCCTTAGAATCAAGAGTCTTTTTTTCTTTTCTTTTTTAAAAAGTCTGATTGCAGCTTTGAGCACGTTACTCCCGTTTTGACCTAGCATTCCAGTTCTACCATGGGATTTTTAGATATGATTGTATCTTGCATGCACATGGTCCAATTCGATATGGTATTTACACATACAGTGTATGTCACAGATGCTTATAATATAGGTATGATGCATAGCGCTGATTACACTTAAACGATGTTGAATACATTTAATGGGGAAAATTCAGCACAAGGAAGGGAAACGACACAAAGATAAAGACTCACGGGCTTGATGTATATAACGGGAAAAAGGAATTTAAATGGAGCTTTGGCACGGGGGGGGGGGAGGCAGGGATGAGAAATTCAAAACCACCCTTAAGTGGATTCCTGGCAACATTCACCCCCACGGCTTCCCGATCCAACCTGTGGCTGTTCTGCTTTCCCAGGATTCCAGAGGAATCTCGGCCGCAGGTTGCTGTATGAGTCTACGATAGCAGAACAAAATTCAAGCTCAGTAGCACCTGAAAGACCAACGGAATTTTCCAGGGTACCAGCTTTTGTGAGTTAAAGCTCACTTTATCAAATAGCTCACAAAAGAGAGCTTTGACTCACAAGAGTTCATACTCCCGAGCTCCAGACAACTCTGTTGGTCTTTAAGGTTCTACTGGAGTGGACTTGAATCTTGGTCTTCCAGAAGCATGTGAGTGTAGGCAGAGTCACACCCTTCTAAGTCCAATGAAGGCACTGAGCTTAGCAGACTATAACTTTCCTTTGGGCGGCACTGTCCAAGAACATTCCTTTCCTTTCATCTGATTGATTAATTAATTAATTATTACCCTTGTACCCTGCCCTCCCCGCAAGCGGGCTCAGGGCGGCTCACAACAGGGCACTATGTGCCAGCACATAAAAACAGGATAAAACAATCACATAAACCAATAAAATATACAGTAATTTCAGTCTATCAATTGAACAAGATAGTATCACCAAGATGTTACATAACACTGTCAGTCCTTCACTAGAGGAGGATAAAGTCCCGTAGATGTTGTTCGTCCCCATCCAGCGAAACTGATCCACCGCGATACCGTAATTTGATCTTCATAGGGCTGGTCCCCTTACCCTGTTGTTACCAATACAATTGGTGGTGGTGATAGTGGTAGTGGCGGCTCCTAATCAAAGGCCTGGCGGAAGAGCTCCATCTTGCAGGCCCTGCGGAACTGTAAGAGGTCCCACAGGGCCCTGATCTCCTCTGGGAGCTCGTTCCACCAGGTAGGAGCCGCCACTGAGAAGGACCTGGCCCTAGTTGCAGCAAGCCTGGCCTCCCTAGGGCCTGGGATCGCAAGGCGATGTTGAGTCCCGGATCGAAGTGCTCTTTGGGGTACACGTGGGGAAAGGTGGTCCCTCAGATATGTCAGACCCTGGCCATATAGGGCTTTAAAGGTAAGAACCAACACTTTGAAGCGGATTCAGGGGGCGCATATAGATGCTATTGGCAGCCAGTGCAGTGCTTTCAGCACAGGCCGGATATGCTCCCATCTAGGGAGGCCCATCAACAGCCTGGCCGCAGCATTCTGCACTAGCTGCAGCTTCCGGATTTGCGACATAGGCAGCCCCATGTAGAGAGCATTACAGTAGTCTAACCTCGAGGTGACCGTTGCATGAATCACTGTGGCCAGGTCATCGCAGTTGACGAAAGGAACCAACTGCCGGATCAGCCAAAGATGGTAAAAGGCCGATTTGGCAGTGACTGCCACCTGGGCCTCCATGGTTAAGGAAGGAGCCAGGAGCACTCCCAAACTCCTAACTACCGACGCTGGCACCAAAGGTGCCCCATTGAAGGTCAGGAGAAGGATCCCCAACCCCAGACCGACCCGACTCAGGCACAGGACCTCCGTCTTCGCCGGGTGTAATTTCAGCTGGCTCAGCCTGAGCCACCAAGCCACGGCCTGCAAAGCCCGGTGCAGATCTTCTAGGTTGGAGACCAACCGGCTGCCCAACATCAGATAGAGCTGGGTGTCATCTGCATATTGATGGCACCCAGGCCCATACCTCTGGGCAATCTGGGCGAGGGGGCGCATATAGATATTAAACAACATCAGGGAAAGCACCGCCCCCTGAGGCACACCACATTCAAGCAGGTGCCTCGGGGACTGCTGTTCCCCTAGCGTCTTGAGCAGTCATATGCCCTCCTCTGATACATATCATCTTTGAGCTTTTATGCCCAAACAATTAAAAAAAAATTAGCAACAGCAAGGGTAGCATTAGGGGATCTCTCAGATAAAAGGAGTGAGATGTATCTTTGAGTGAGGTCAAAAGGAAATGAAATCCAAACAGTACATTAAAAATTGATTCCTAAGAGTTGCATACAAGGGACACCCCAATAAAATATGCACCAATGTTCCAACTTTCCCTAAAGAGCAGTCACACACATGCTCTGAAAAAGAGGTTCCCAGTAATCTACCACTCGCAACAGGGGCGGACTGCGCATTTAGCTGAGTCAATAAAAACACTCCCAAAATAATTTGGGACAGACAAGTGAAAGGCATAAGAAAGCCATGATCTAGGTAGGAGGATTAAAAAAATAAGGAAGAATAAACCCTGCAGGCACAAAAACATGTATTCCGAAGAGGCTCTGGCTAGAAACAGCCAAACTGCCCCATAACATCCACTGATACCCCCCTCCCAATCTATGACCAAAACCATCTCTCTGCTTGATAGTGGAAAGCCAGCAATCACTGATAGTCCCATTAAAAAAAACTGTCCTGTGCTTTCAAACGTTTCCAATAAGAAAAGATCTTATCGTCGTAGGACCAAGAGGCAGGGGATTTCTCTCTCAGCCACCAGCTAATGGATCTGTTGCTTTTCTCAAATGCACTGTGGCTGCACAGACAGCATCAGAAGGGGTGCAATTCTACCCACCAAATCTCTTTTGCACACTCCAGAGAGAAATGCCTCTCTAGCTTTCACGACAAGGACTTTCTGTCAAATTTCTTCTAATTACAGCAACACAATGTTATTCCCCCCCCACACACCTCAGCAAGCCAGAACCGGGGCCACAAAACTGGGTATAATTAGACACAATCAAACATTACACTGAGACCTTTGGTGTATGATGGGTACATTTTCTTGGAAGAGGGAGGGAGTCAGAAAGCAACCGGTAGTCTCTCAAGCAAATTAGGAAACTAATGTGGCTAATTTGAAGCAGCAAAGGGGGGGTGTCTCTCATAGCCTTGAAGCACAATGCATGATCTCAGGCCTGACCAATCTCTCTTTAATTAACTTTTATTGAAATTTCATAATAGAGAAGAAAGAGAAAAAAGAAAAAGGGAAAAAAACTAGAAAAAAGACAAGAAAAAATAATTCAGCGTGTATGCCTTCTCAATACAAGTTAGGGATAGCTTACAGTCCATATTATCTAAATCACATAGTACCCTCGTGTCTAATATATAATAGTCTTATATTCATATTTATCTTTACTCCACACATAGAAAGGAGCCCAAGCATCAACAAAGTCTTTTTCGGATTTTTCTTTCAAGATCACAGTTACTTTGTCCATCTCCGCACATTCCGTGATTTTCCAAATCCCTTCTTCTGGAACTGTTCGT